AACCACGAAAAAACTATAAATCAAGCGGATAATACGGGCAAATCGATGACATCATGGCGACATCGATTCAGACTTTTTTCGTTTTGAGAGTAAGGGGAGAATTAAGTGGATATGAGGTGTGGGAGGTGGGTGTTGCCTTCGATTTTGGTTTCAGAGAGAGGCATATTAAAGAGGTAAAATTGATTCCTTTGTCTTTTTTTGCTCTGATTCATCGCCATCATGGCAACATCGATTCAGATGGGCCACATGATGACGATCATTGTTGGAAGTCGTAGGTTTGATTTCTCGGATTTTTATGGTTTCGTTCTTGGGATTATCATCATGTTTCGTTTTTGGGATTTTCATTATGTGTCAAGAACTTTAAGTAATTGATTTCAATAAGCTGAAAAAAGAGATGCTAAAAATGAAAACAGAGATTGTATTTCTTGTGTAATAAAAGATCGACTGTATATTGAATGTCTTTGTTTTCTTGGCTAAATCAACAATACTTCATTTTTGCGAGGGTAAAAAAAGCTAGAATTAAGGAGCATATACATCATGAACCATGGATCGAAAGTGGGGAGATTTATGGTGTTGCAGATTTTGGTGCTTGTGTTTATACGAGAGAGGGGGGGGGGGAGAGAGAGAGAGAGAGAGAGAGAGAGAGAGAGAGAGGTCCCTATTTTTCTTTAATAAATATAAATATTTTTAGAAAATAATGGAAATAAATATAATAAGGGCAATTTAGTTATTTCAGTTTTGGGAGGGACCAAATCCACGTACAAACTAAGTAAAAAAGACCATGAAGCCAAAAAAATCGAGGATTAAACTAAACATCAGAAAAAATGCATACCATAGGGACCATATTTGCAATTTTGTCTATTTATTTCTGGGTTGGTTTTTAACATATGCATAACGGACTAAAGTTGACAAAATATAGAAATTGTGGTGGTCAAATGTTGAAAAAGGGTAAAAGTAATGTTCATAAGTGTTATTCTAATTAATATAGAGAAGGGACCAAAATTGCTAAGTTATAGAAAATATTGTGGCTTAATCTAATTAATATTGGAGAAGGTACTAAAATTGCCAAGTTATAGAGAAGGGGCCAATATTGCCATGTTGTAGAAAGTATTGTGGCGAAATGACTTTGTATCAGAGAAGAGACCAAAATTACCAAATTGTAACAAAAAAGTATAAGGATCGTTACTGTATATTGCCAAAGATGGATGATTTATGAATAAAATAAAAAAGCATAGAGGTTAGTAGTGTAAATTGCCAAAGGTTACCATGTTGGTGATTTGTTATCATCAATGTTATTTAAGTGTAATGAGATTACTTTGTTGATCAAAAGTGATCTTGATAAATATTAAACTAGTAAAGAAGGTGTGAAGTACACACTTGTTTAAGTTTGATCAAGTAAAGAACGCGAAGCCCCTGAACGAACGGGGATCCGGGGATAGCGCCCCTGGGAGCGGGGTCCAAGGGGCAGAGGTATGGTTTTCATTGAGAATTGACCCATTTTGACTTTTATTCAAATACCTGTTTTTATGACCGTTTTTGGTGGTTTGTGACAGTTTGAAACTATCATATGACAGTTTTCAAACAGAGATCTTAAAGTCGGTTTTGGTCCCATTTTATGGTACATATGAAAAAAATAATATGATCACTAAGTCATCAAAATTTGAGGAGGCAAAAACATTATTGAGATGAAATGACGAAATGTCAACCATGCTCTTCAGTAAGATGGAATAAACTATGATTGACAAGAGGTCAGTTCAAGAAGAATACATTGTAATAATACTTGTAAACATGAAGAACACAACCTAGTCATCTATAATGCCACCACCTTCTATATTTCCAATCTACCAGAACGATGCACCAGTGCAAGTGTATTGAAAAGATTCTAATAATTTTTGTTTATTGGTGGATGCATACAATGCCAAGAAGAAATACATATTTGGTGACAACTCCTCCTTCATTAGATTTATAGAAGTTAGAGATTCCAAATAAATGGAGGGACAAATCAATAAATCCAAGCTTAGTGATGTCAATATTTCGACCACTATCGCAAAGTTTGATAGGAATCAAAGATCCATAAATGTCCTGTCAACTAGAAATCTCACAATGACTTCGATAGTGGAAGGACAACCAAGAAAATATGGATCTATTATACATAACTATAACACTGGTATTTGATTATGCATGGACATTTTTAAAGGCTGCCTCCCTCAACCCCAACCTGCACTTCGTAAAAAATGGTCAGATTACATATTCAAACATACCATGCCTTAAGGCCCGGAGGAAATGATCCCTTGTTGGCGAAGTCCACACCATGAAACAACTCAAGAACACACAAAGTGGACTAAAAGAAGAAGGGCTAAATGATTTCACAGTTTGATATGTTAGGGGCCTATAGATTTGTATCCAAAATGATTATTCACTTTGGAAGTTGAAATGATTGCTCTTAAATCCAACAACACTTGGGATTTTGTTCCTCGTACACGTGGTTTAAATATCGTGGGTTCTAAATAGGTTTGTCATACAAAGTTTAATTCCGATGGTACAGTGCAACACCTAAAGGATCGCTTGGTCGCTCAAGGTTTTAGTCAAATTCTGGGACCTGACACATATAATTATACTTTTACTCTGGTTGTCAAAGTTGTCACCGTTCGTCTTATCTTGTCATTGGCTATCATGCATAAGTGGCATCTTCACCAACTTGATGTAAATAATGTTTTCTTAAACGGGCATCTCACTGACATAGTGTTTATGGAGTAACCTCCTGGGTGCACAAATCAAGGATTTCCAAATCATGTTTGTCGATTAAAAAAAGTGTTATATGGTCTTAAACTATCTCCGCGTTCTTGGTTTCAATGCCTGAACTCTTTCTTGATTTATCTCAACTTTATTTGTAGTCGAGCTGATGCATCTCTATTTATCTTCAAATGAGAGTCTCAAATATTATATCTACTAGTCTATGTAGACACTATAATACTTACCAGTAATCACCCACCTCTCATTCGGAAGTTTATTTATATACTTCACACAGAGTTTGCTATCAAGGATCTTGGTCAGATAAACTATTTCTTGGGTCTTGAGGTCTCGTATATGGAAAATGGATTATTTCTTACTCATGCTAAATACTCTCATGACATTCTTTCTAGAGCCGCTCTTCTTGATGCTAAACCAACTTCAACACCATTATCTACATCAGATTATCTTGTGACTTCCGGTTCTCCATGTTCATATCCTACTCTATATCGATCTTTAGTTGATGTTCTACAATATTTGACCATCACTCGCCCCGACTTGTCTTATGCAGTTAATCAAGTCAACCAGCTTTTACATGCTCCTACTAGTGATCATTTTCAAGTTGTTAAAAGAATTTTTAGATATGTTAACGACATTTTGTCTTATGGACTTCATTTTACTTCTCCATGACTTCCTCACGGTCATCTTCGCTCGTTGGATGTTTTGATGTATTGAGACTCGTCGTTCCACCTATGGTTATTCCATATTTCGGGGTGAAAATCTTGTCTTTTGGAGAGCTAAAAAGCAACCCATTGTGTTTCGCTTCAACTGTGAATCTAAATGTCGGGCGATAACAAATATTGTTTGCTGGAATTATTTGGATCACTCACCTCTTACATGAGCTTCATGCCTTGCCTCGGGATCGCCCTATTCTTTTATGTGACAACAAGAGTGCTCTTTTCCTTAGTTAAACCCCATTTCTCACAAAAGAGCGAAGCATATAGACATCGACTACCATTTTCTTCATGAGTTAGATGCTTATGTTCAATTACACACTCAGTTCGTTCCAGCTTCATTTCCGTTGGCCCACATATTCATTAAAAGTCTTCCATGCCCACCATTTGAACAATTCTGTGCCAAGCTTCGTGTTTGTTTGCTACCTCTTCGCTTGAGGAGGGGTGTTAGCGATAACTCTAGATAATGATAAGTTATATTGTAGTTCTCTATCCTTAGAAATCAACTCTTGTTAATACTCTGTATTATATATATTGTTGTAAATCTCGTACCACTGTTTAAAGTGATTTCAATAAACTCTTAGTATAAGGTATTTTTTAAAAACAAAGGGTAGAAGAAAATTATATATATATATATATATATATATATATATATATATATATATATACACTAAAATGCAAGTTAGCTTATGTGAGTAGCACTTACCAGCTAAAAGTTCATTTTATAATACATATTGTACAAGTTTATAATGCATATTTCATACTTCAATCCCTAATTTATTATTATTCTTCATTTGCAACCCTCTATTTGGTAAAATAATAGTATTTTTTTTTATCAAATTACTTTTTAAATTATCATTTTGACCCTCCACTTTGAATTTTATAAAATATCATATTTACCCTTCATTTTCTAAACTTTCATATTTATCCCACGTGCATCCCTCTTCTACTTTCACTAAAAATTTTGACCCTCACTTTATAAAATGTCAACTTTCGTATTTATCCAATGCTTATCCCTCTTCTACTTTCACTAAAACTTCTTTTCATAAGGCAACATGTGTGTAATACATATTTCATACTATATGTCATACTTTAATACTTCAACTTACTATAATTCTTCATTTGCAACCCATCTTTTTTTGAACCGCATAAAAATATAATAAACCAATTTCATACTGATATCTAGCACTCTAGCAATCACCATGTAAATATATACAACCAATATAATTATTCAGATGATAATCCATGAGTGTAAGAGTACTGGATCGAGAAAGATAAATCGATAGAGCATGAGCTATAAACTCTACTAATAGTTCTGTATGAGAAGCAATCAGCAAATAATTTTCACAAAAAAACACTCCAAAAATGTTTTTTGAGGAACTTGAAAGAGTCTACTACACAAATTCAAAGTACATATTTAGATCCAGTCAGAACATTTATTAAAAAATTAGGGTTTCGAAATAATATATTCTTACCACACGTTTATTACGTGTAATAAAGAAACGTGAAAGACAACTTTTTGTGCTTTCCGAAAAAATGAATAAAAGTTAAACCCATTTATATTCAGCCATTTCCAGACTGATTCCACCATTAACGATGCTTTTCCAATTCTTTAGCGATTGTGTGTTCCTTTGCTCTTCCCCCAATTGTCAACTCCATTTCAGCTCTCAACTACCACCATGCCCAATAATTCTCTGATCTCAACTTTCCGACCAACAGTGCACCAAATACTCCTGCGCCCTCACAGACCCGATACCTCCGGTTCATCCACTTTTCGCCTAAAACCCTACTCGAAAAACTCAGTATCCTTGATCCTGTCAACAGGAGAAGGAAGACTTCCAGATTTGAAGATCATGGCTAAGAAAAAGCCCATAGAAGGAGTGAGCGATCAGATGAATGCGATTGCGTCTCAGAATCTTGATCAAGCACCTGCTCGCCGGAGAGTTCGATTGTCTTTCACTCAAGTTCAGGAACAGCTTGATCATGTTTTGTTTAAGGTTCAAATTTCATATTTTAATTGTTCGATTGATGATTCTCAATTTTTCTTTTGCTAATTTCTTACTGATTGATATCTTTATGCTTGTTCTGATTAATCGGTAGATGGCTCCTACAGACATCAGGACTGAAGAGGTAAATTTCCCACCGATTTAAACTCTGTAGCGTAGCAATCTATATAACTGTTTCTATGCGATTAGAAATACTGAGAATCTTACATATGTCCAAAATCAGAGTCTGAATTGACCTTTACCTATCAAATTAGTCAACTGTAGACATTAATGGGTATCGATAAGAATTGTTTGTTTGTGAATAAGAAATCTGAAACTACATAAACTAACAGGTTTCCTTTCCCTCAATAGAGCAAACAAACTAACCACATCTATTTGAATATCAAATTTGAACCCTTAATATTTTCATCTTTCAAAATCTGAAGTTCAACTCCTGAACTCCACTTATAAATAGCTTAATTTCACCATTTGGGGTCGACAAATATATGTTTTAGTTGTGAACAATTAGATGATTTGACTAAATATATATATCTGCTTTTGCATTATAGTGGTTTGAAACGAACTCAAAAGGTCAAGAAATTTTCTGTAAAAGTTGGTTACCAAGGCCTGGAGTCAGAATCAAAGCTGCTGTGTGTTTTGTTCATGGATATGGCGACACTTGCACCTTTTTCTTTGAAGGTTTGTGGTGACACCTCATCATCTATGCCTTATATAATCATGAAATTCAATTCTTTTAAGATTATAATTTATAATCCTTTTTTCAGGCATTGCAAAGAAAATTGCTGCTGCTGGTTATGGTGTTTATGCCATTGATCATCCTGGTTTTGGCCTCTCTGAAGGTCTACATGGATATATCCCTAAATTTAGTGATATAGTTGACAATGTAATCGAACAATATACAAAAATTAAAGGTACCCCTTTTGTCTAAATCTCTATATTTGACTTTTTTCGTCAAACAAAGTATTTTTTGATTTCAAAATTCATATGGCTTTGTTTGTTTTTTCTTATATATAAACTTGTAAGCACATTGAACTCCATGTGAAGTTCTATAAGCCAAAACTCTGGCTTAAAAATGTAAAACAATAAACTACAAAAATAGTCCCTGTGCTTTTTGATTTTTACCATGTTTAATTCAAAATTGATTTTTTGTTAAAATTCGTATCGATTTTGGTCCCTGATACTTTTTCATTTTGGTCATTATTTCAAGGTTCCGTATTGATTTTGGTCCTTATTTCAAAGTTTCATATCGTTTTTGGTCCTTATTTGAAAGTTTCATATCATTTTTGGTCCTTATTTTAAAGATTCATATCATTTTTGGTCCTTATTTCAAGGTTTCATATCAATTTTGGTCCTTATTTCAAGGTTCCAGGGACCAAAATCGATATGAAACCTTGAAATAAGGACTAAAATTGAAAAAGATTTCAAATTTGAAATAAACATTGTAAAAATCATAAAGCACAAATTTGGAATAAATTTTTTCAAAATTTGGTCCTTATTTCAAGGTTCTAGGGACCAAAATCGGTATGAAGCCTTGAAATAAGGACTAAAATTGAAAAAGTTTTCAAATTTGGAATAAACATGGTAAAAATCATAAAGCACAAATTTGGAATAAAAGTTTTCAAAATTTGGTCCTTATCTCAAGGTTCCAGGGACCAAAATCGATATAAAACCTTGAAATACGGACCAACATTGAAAAAGTTTTCAAATTTGGACTAAACATGGTAAATTCACAAAGCTCATGGACCATTTTTGTAAAAATAATTTTCACAGGAAGACCCGAAGTGAGAGGGATGCCTCGGTTTCTTTTAGGCCAGTCAATGGGAGGAGCCGTTGCACTTAAAGTTCATCTCAAAGAACAACGCGAGTGGGATGGTGTAGTTCTTGTTGCTCCAATGTGCAAAGTAAATTTCCCTTTTTACCCCTCATAATAATAATCACATCATCAACATAAGTTTTTTGTTTAAAAAAATTCCCATTTTGACCTTCGATTTCGTTCAAAGATTGCAGAGGAAATGAAGCCCCCGGAACCACTACAAAAAATTTTAATCTTTTTGTCACGATTAATGCCAAAAGCAAAACTTGTACCACAGAAAGATCTTGCTGAGCTGGCGTTTCGGGACCCACAAAAAAGAAAATTGGTTAGGTTTTTTAACGGACTACGATGTCATATCATACTTTGATCAAACTAAACAAAATAGACCCTGATACTGATACTGACAGTGACACTGACAATTTCTTATTTGTCAGGCGGACTACAATGTCATATCGTACTCCGATCAAACGCGATTACAGACGGCTGTTGAACTTCTAAACGCGACAAATGAACTCGAATCAGAAGTCGAAAAGGTCTGGTTTTTCAAAAAAAAAAACATTTGTACATTTTTATTTCTTAACAAACATAAAAAATAAATTCAACTTTGTTTGAAAAAAAAACCACACAGGTTTCATCACCATTGTTGATACTTCATGGAGCTGCAGACAGGGTAACAGATCCTAATATCAGCAAGTTTCTTTACGAAAAAGCTGCCAGCAAGGACAAAAGTTTGAAACTTTATGAAGGAAGTTATCATTGTATTCTAGAAGGGGAATCCGATGAAAGAATATTTCAAGTGCTTGATGACATTATTGCATGGTTAGATGCTCATTGTTCTGTTAGATAGCTGTTATTTTATTTATTATTATAAATTATTTTTTTTGTGGGTGTTGGTGAGATTAAAGAAATTCGGTTTAAGTTGCGTTAAAGTAAACAATCCATTGAAACACGAGATTGGATTATTTATTCTTTTTGTTACCACGTTTTTGGTGGATTTTGATGAATATGTATGTTGTTTATGTGTAATATTTGGAAGATTTGTATTGCAAGACTTGTAGAAAGACATTTGTTTGTTGTATTAATAAAGAAATTGTTAGCTTGTTTAGTGTCCGTGGAATTGTTTTTGCTTTGATCTTAAATGGTTGTAGTTTGTTATTTTTAGTAAATAATGTAATTAATGTTATGGGTAATTAAAAAAAAAAAACACAACCTATTATAAGACTAATCACTGAAAAAAACATTGTATTAATTTTGGGTATGTGAAACCCTTTTATAGTTTCAATAAACACAAAGAAACCCCCCCAAAATGAAAAAAAAAAAAAATCCTTATATTGAATTTGTGACTATTTAAAGCCCCTTTTAATTTTAATTTATATGAAAAACCCTTTTATTTAATGTTATTGGTGACAGAAAAATACAATATATTATAAAAAAACCCCATTCTATTATATAAATGTTAGGGTAAATTATACAAATAGTCCTTGTAGTTTGGTAGTTACAAAGATTAGGGTGAGCATGGTGCGGTTTGGTGAGGTTTTTGGCCAAAACCAAACCGAAAACCGCAACCTCGGTTTTTTGAAGTTTAGAAACCACACCGTGCGGTTTTTATACTTAAAAATATACAATCATCATCTGATAGATAAGATAGATATTTATATTTATAGAAATTTTAAAGTTTTTGGTTCAT